TGTTGGTGTGTTTATTAGAGATGACAGTTAAATAAAAGAATTAGGTGACAAATGCGGTAGGTAAATCATGGCCAACCAGTTTTTTACTATCTTTTTGGATTTATTTTTTTAACTTTTATACCTAGGTACTTTTAAAAAAGAACTTAGGCTTTTTTGGGGACATCTAATACCCATTTTAATTATCTATCCGAGTGAGTTTTCCCGCTGTCAACTTGCCACGCTGTATATACTTAGGTAGGTACCTACCTACCTACAGATTCATCCAAATTACCTAATTATACCTATCTACCTACAAAATCTTATTTTGTTTATCGATCTGTTTGTCACCGTAACGAACGTTTGTTTGATTAAAATGTCTAGGTATATACCTAGTGGCGCTTTCGATTGGTACCTAATCTTTTTGTAAGAATATACCTAGGTAGGTATAGGTTAGGTATGCGATCAAAAACCATCAGTTGCTGTCGAGTTACCTATACCATTGGAATTTTTGTTTACCTACATGGGAAATCGTACCTAGGTAGGTAATAGGTAAGTACTTATTGAACTTCCAAAGGCGACTCGACCGCCACTCATTTTTGATAGCGCCTTATACGCAGCAATTTTTATATGATTATGCTAGCAATCAAAATGAGACTGGAGCAAAAAAAAACTACCTACTGCAACCCAAGTTTTTAGTGCACTTTTTTCACTTTCCAAAAATAAAAAATGCACTTTTGCGCTATTAATGCATCTGTCTGTCCGTCTGAGTCACAAAAGGCTCAGGAACTACACCACTTACAGACTGGAATTGGTGTCATACGATCAGAAATTAAAAATTATTTCATGTTTGTAGATTCTCGTTAAGCCATGAAATGTCCACAAGGACTATTAAAACCGAAAAAACAAATTTGAAAGATGCATACCTCTACCTAGGTATCTATACTCTTCGCCTCTTGCTCACAAGCGGCTTAACGAATTTTTTCCAATCTAGTACCTACAGGCTAAAAAGTAAAAAATTCGTTAAGCCCCTTGTGAGCAAGAGGCGAAGAGTACACCTAAGTATAGGTATGCATCTTTCAAATTTGTTTTTTCGGTTTTAATACCTAGTCCTTGTGGACATTTCATATGGCTTAACGAGAATGCAAACATGAAATAATTTTTAATTTCTGATCGTATGACACCAATAGGTACCAAGTCTGTAGGTAAGTGGTGTAGTTCCGGAGCCTTTGTGACTCAGACAGACAGACAGACATCAAGAGCGCAAAAGTGCGTAAAGTGTTATAGGTAGGTATTTGTTTTTTTTTTATATCTTTTCAAACAAGGTCAGAAAAAAATAAACTCGAATAGGTACCTAAAGTTAATTTCGGTTTCGAATGTTTTCTTAAAATTTCAAAATAAGTAGGTTAGGTAGATCCTTAAAACATTCTAACATTTCTGAACTCCTTGGAAGTTGAAGTCTCGAAAGGTCTCTAAAAACCTACCAACAATCTGAAACTCGCAAGGTCTTAAAGTAGGAAACCTCCTATACCTAATACCTATAGGTACCAGGGTATGATTCAAAATTACACAGGTAAGTACATACCTAAAAACCGCAGCGGAAAATCTGATAGAACTTACCCCTTTTGCAGGTCTGGAACGGTTTTAGGGCGATTTTAGAGTTTTTATTTAGTTTTGGATTGCGTTTCTTTGGGACTATAAAATTAGGGGGGCTTATAAGATCCCTTGCATACTTTAGACTTCAGAACTGGATAGCTTAAAAGCTATTTTCATAGGTATATCGGGTGCTTAGATTGTAAGGGTGTTTTTACCAGCCAAAAATAAGAATTTTTTTCATAAATCGTAATCCCAACTTGCTTCGTTTTCTAGATACAGGGTGTACAAGACCCTTATGACGACAAATAAGTCTACCAAAAACCGATTTTTGAACAAACTTATATCCTGTAGGTAACTGGAAAAACGAAGCATCAGTTAGGATTAGGTATACTTATAGGTATGAAAAAAATTCGTATTTTTGGCTGGTAAAAACACCCTTCAAATCTTTGCACACGATTCTTAATCACCCTGTATATCAAAATAGGATTTAGGCTATATATCCAGTTCTGAAGTCTAAAAAGTATGCAAAGGATCCTATAAGCCCCCCTAATTTTATAGTCCCAAAGAAACGCAATCCAAAAGTAAATAAAAACTCTAAAATCGCCCTAAAAGATTCCAGACCTCCAAAAGGGGTAAGTTCTACCAGATTTTCCGCTGCGGTTTTTAAGATATGTACCTAGGTAGGTAGGTATACCAACCATACAAGATTTTGGAGCTTGTATAAAGTCTCCTAAAGACAACCTCTATACAAAGCATAAAAGCACAATAACTAAAACATGTTTTTTCTTCACCCACCAATTTCTCCAATTGTTTCTACATAGATATGTCACTTTTATACTATTCTTGTTAAAAACATGCCTATCAGAAATTCCTATACAATTTGTTGCCTTCAAGTCTAACAAAGCTAATTTTTGCTCATTTGAAGTCATTTTTGCCACTCCGCCCAAGCTCCCTGGTATAAACAACTTCGAAATCAGATACTAATTCCTCAGTAAACGAACAAGAAAAGCACAACCAATCGGTAACGGGATATTCTCCCAGCGCCACACGTTATCTGATTTGTCCCGTTTTAATGACCACCACGCCCACATAGCAGAACAAAATGGAGACTTGTTTTATCGCCTAACGTAAACAGAAAACCAGTTATAGTCAAGGTGTAGGTACCTACAGTATTTACATGAGAAAGTAAGAGGGGTCATTAGCATAATAACGCTTGACCTCTGATGACCTTAAAATAATGACGCACTGGGAGAAGTTTAGCTTTAAATGAAAAATAGAGGTAAGGTAAGTATAGGTACTTAGGTATATTTACCTACTATTTTGGGATGGAAAAATAAATTAGGTAATGTTGATTTATAGCTAATCTTTCAAATTATACATACAGGGTGTCAATTTTAAAACTTGCAGTCGGCCATATTTTCCACACTAAACCGTTTCGGGGGTATCGAGGGGGAACCAGAATGACGTTATGAGTGACATCCTCCCTTATCAAAAATCCTAAATGGCAACCCCATACTTGTTACACATCGTTGGAAAGTCAATACGATTCATTAAGACAATTTAACAAAAATTTAATAATTAACAAAAAAAAACTAAGTTTTACCTGGAGCTGCTTCATTAAGCAATCTTGGTTGCTTTCTTTTTTTATTGATAACAGATCCTGCGATTTAGCGACCAAATCTTGAACATAGGCATGGCTTAATTTTTATTTTTTTGTTTAATTATTAAATTTTTGTTAAATTGTTTCGTTTTCAGAAAATTTTAAAAATTAACGCCGACAAATTAAAGGATACAAAAATTAAAGTAGGTATTACCTATGCGTATTTTTATAATTTATAAGACAAATTTTTAAAAAAATTTGGAATTGAAAAGCACGTAAAACTTCAAAATATAATTCAGGAAATTTTCCGAAAAATCCAGAAAATTAGGACAATTTAAAGAATATAATCTTGGAGGCTATAGTTGCACATTTGGATTATTGAAAATTGAAGAAAAAAGGATATCTTAAAACCATAAACTTTAACCTCCTACACTAAAAACATATTGTGGCTGCGCCTACAATTTGTTTGTAGTTAGGTAAGTGGTAGGTATCTATACCAATTTTAAAAAAGGAGCAAGACGAACTGAATATAGGTTCAAACAATTAAAAACATAGGAAAGGTTCAAAAGATTAACGCAACGAAAACCAGAAGTTACAAAATTGATCATTTTAAAAATTCAAAAAATTAAAAATTCGAAAATTATGAAAATTTAGCGCAGATATTTAAAAATTCAAACAACATTTTTCCTACTTCCAACGGAATGAGAAAACATTAAGAAACTTAAAAAGTTTCAAAAATCAAAAAAACAACCCAACATATTAAGAGGGTTTATAAAACTAGAAATTAAAAACCCTAACAAACCATACAAATTAGGGCAGACACATACGTTAAAGAAATATTTATGAAATTATAGAACGCAAATTGACAAAATTCTGAAAATTTCAATAATTTGAATAAAAGAATTGAAAGCATATAAAAATGCATAATTTAATTCAGGAAATTTCACGAAAAATTTAGAAAATTAACAAATTCAAAAATTTTAAAATTTCTGAGAATGTTCATTAAAATTCCCAGTCTATAAAAATGTTTTCCTTACACAGGAACATCCATACACAAAATGTATGTAGGTACATAATTAATGAAAAAAATTTCATCTTATTGTCTCTGTGATTTCTTTTTACAGATAATCTCACACAAGGCAAATTTATTCATACAATTAGAATTTAACTTGACGCTGTACACAAAAAAGGGGTAATGACCTACAAAAAATTCAAAAGGAAAAACTTTAAAAAATGATAAAAAAACAAAAACTAAATACATTAATTTTTTAAAAACAAAAAAATTCAAAAATTAACGCAAAGAAAATTAGAGAATTATAAAAGAAAAAATGAAATTTTTTAAACACAAAAAGAATTGAGATTTATAAAACTGAAAATTTTTAAAATTAAAAATTAAAAAAAATTATAAAATTTGCGCAGATAGAAAACCGGAAAATTTTTTAAAACGTATACAGCACATTGCAAAAAAAATGAATAAACGAATACGCCACATAAAAATTCAGAACTTCAAGAAATATTTAAAAAAATACTGCAAAAATTTGGGTGCTCATAACGCCCTTATATCAGGTTTAATCGCTACGTGATACAGGTACTTGATTCAAAATATTTTAGTCAAAAGAGGGTCTTTGAATAAGGAATTAAGAAATCTATAATTCAACATTTCATTGCGCACCCTGTTGATACATGACTACCATTCCCAATTAATGATAAAACAGATACCTATCATTTTGGGGTAGATGCGCTCCGTAGACAAGTGACGCGCCAGATACCAATTTCGGAAGACATTGGAACACACCACAAACTACAAATTATGATACATGGTACTTACCTTTGATGTGTGATGATGGAACGACACGACCGTAATGGCTGGCACACGTAGGACGGCATAAAAGAGCAATGATGTTTGGACTGGCTTTTGTAGAATTTTCTTCCAATTGTTCTTGATGAAAGATTACCATTTTGACTGCACTGCAAAATGAACACAATAATGGTATGGGTTGGGTTATACCTAGGGATGGGCGATAACTGTTTTCACCTATCGATAAGTATCGGGTACTTACCTATCGATATATTTTACTTATCGATATGCCGATAATTATCGAAATATCGATATGTCGATAGTTATCGATATGTCGATAGTTATCGATATATCGATAGTTATCGATATATCGATAGTTATCGATATTTCGATAGTTATCGATATTTCGATAGTTATCGATATATCGATAGTTATCGATATATGATTACTATCGATAGGTATCGATATGTCGATAGTTATCGATATATCGATATGTCGATAGTTATCAATATGTCGATAGTTATCGCTAGGGATGGGCGATAACTGTTTTCACCTATCGATATAAGTATCGGGTACTTACCTATCGATATATTTTACTTATCGATATGTCGATAATTATCGAAATATCGATGGTTATAGATACATCGATAACTATCGAAAGATCGATAACTACCGCTATATCGATAAGTATCGGTATATCGATAGTTCTCGTTATGGCGATAGTTTTTAATATATAGGTATCGATATATTACCGATAATTTTTTTGAAAGCGTGTCTAAAAACTGCATGAGTTTACTTTTATATTTTGGCGAAAGAGCCCGACAAGACAAGAGGGCTCTTTTTAACAAAATATGAAAATAACCGAATGCAGTTCTTGCAACTTTAATGGAGTTACCATATTAACTGTGCAATTATCGCAGGGCTCTTTAGCATTTCTGTTTTTTTGTGACTGGTCCTCTGTAACCATCAGTCAGATACCGATACATAGGCCATGATTACACTCTTTGATTGTCTTCTTTATTTTATCTAAAGAGTAGCCATTTTGATGCAACATTTTGTTCAAGTTTTTGAAGTGCTTCTTTTTTTGAGCAATCGTCAGTAAGACGAAAAGATCTATTTTCTAAAGATTTTATTACTGCGTTTATTTGGCATGGATGATGATGTGACGTAGCGCTTCTCTTGAGAAAGGGAGCAAAGTTAAGTTTCCGAAACGTCGAGCAACTAAAAATAGTAAATTTACACGAGAGTAAACCCGAAAATGGATTTTATTAATAAAAATAGTAGCGCTCGTTGAAATCTCAACAATAACATAATTTTATCGTACAGTTATCGACATATCGATATATCAATAGTTATCGACATATCGATATATCGATAGTTATCGACATATCGATAGTTATCGACATATCGATAGTTATCGACATATCGATAGTTATCGACATATCGATAGTTATCGACATATCGATATATCAATAGTTATCGACATATCGATATATCAATAGTTATCGACATATCGATATATCGTTATCGACATATCGATATATCGACGATATCAATAGTTATCGACATATCGATAGGTATCGATATATCGATACTTATCGATAAGTATCGATATATCGATAGTTATCGATCTATCGATATATCGATTTCTTTAGCTCTACCTATTGTTATTCGATATATCGATAACTATCGATACCTATCGATATATCGAAAAAAATTCCCATGCCTAGTTATACCTACAACATGTTCTTGAATGATGTGGCAACTAAGCACAGCTACCACTTAGAAGTATCGTGTACAGCAAATTTCTACTAAATAAGAATGTTAAAGATGGGCAAAGTTCCTCAATACTTCATCAACTAATACAATAAAAACAACTAAAATCCTACTTTTAATTTAAAAGAACAGACATGGCGTGACTTCCGTAACACATCAGCCACCTGTCACAACAGTTTCAAACTTTAAATAAACTAAACAAATATAAAAAACGAGCTCCTGGGTATGGCTATAGCATGTGCAAAACCAAATTTTAAACCTGATGTTAGTATTGCTTTTATTTAAGGTGTATAAGTATGAAATTTCATTTAATTGCTTCCATAAATAAGAAAGTCCTACACAAAACGAAATTTGGAAAATGGCGCTACATTTGCTTTTATTCCAAGTGGCTATGTATCAAATTTCATTTAAATACCTCCATAAATAAAAAAGTTTGCAATTTGGTTTATAAATGGTTGATGCGAAAAGGGCACTGTGAATGTTGATCGATTAGGCTCAATTTTTGGAAATGCGTTTTATATGGCTAAAGCTATATACGCAAATTGAATTTCATGCAATTCGGTTCATAACTCACGGAGATGTCAAAAGGACCTTCCTTATTTTTTGGGCTACATTGCCAATTCACGAACTCCGATCTACAAATTTGATAAAGAATCCATCTACTAAATTTTATCGTAATTGGTCCATTCGTTGTCGAAATATTGTGCTAACGGACGGACAGAAGGACAGACACCGCAAAATGATAAACTAGCTAAGCTAAGAGCTCGTTAATCAAGATTTATATGTTTTTCATATGTAATTAAAAATGCAAATAGGTACAGTTTTAGTGATCAATTTTTTGGCCCTAATTTTCTGCCAGTTGTGTCATTTTTGTATAGTCAACAGAAGAAAAAGATGTGACTGATGCAATTTGCACAGTATAATAAGTCGCATGCGATGATGGGATAAGCAAAACCAGTTATATGTACCTATAGTAAATCGTACAGTCACCTGCAAATAATCGCACCTGAGCCTAGTGCGTTACTGACCTAACTTGATTATTTAATGTCAAATTAGGGTTACCTACCTATTAGTCTTGATTTTTATTTAGTATCAAATTGTGATTTTTTGACACAAATATGTATAGCAAAGACAAGGTTAAAATATTAACATGGTATCAGGGGGGTAACAGTTTAAGAACTGTAAAAACAGCTCGTTTGTCGCATGCAATGTAATATCGGCACACTTCCTGTGAGATCAGATTTCGTGGAGCCTTCAGACTTGTTTTTATAAATGTGGAATGACCAAAAATAATTGATTAATTAAGAATTTGGAGCTTTTACAGTAAAAAAAGTTATTGAACATATGATTTTGAATAAAGCAACAAATTGCCACTTAAAACACTAAACCTTGGTCTCTAAACCATTAGGCCAATCACATAATTTCGCTTTAGAGTAGACAAAGACAATAAAACATGAATATTGAAGCATTCACATTAGGGTGGTTTACCAGCAACTTGTATCACACCTTTCATAAGACTGGTAGGATGAACTGAAGTCCACATCATCAATATTGGAAAACAAGCCGTTAGGGTAGGAATTGTAAGGTAACAACCAAACACAGCAAATTATAAACAATAGAGTATGGTTGGTTGCCTAACTTCCAAACTGGCAAAGTGACATATTGTCCCCACTACCAATATTAGATCAGCTTTTCAAGATTTTAATTTTCCTTGGAACAAGTTTGAAACAGCATCAAAATTTAAAAACTGTTGCAGCAACAAATGTAGGTAATATGAGAGTATTAAAATGAGATTTGTTATTTTCCAGGCCAAGTGCAAAGAGTAAAGTTGTAAATTAGATTGTGCAGTTTTTCATAAACTTAAACATGAACTGCTGCAAAAGTTGTCCCAAGGTTTCACATTTAAACAAAATCAGTAGGGAAAACGAACTAGTTTTGTAATTAAAAATTTAAATATTAATGCCATGACGAATTTTTCGGTTCGCATAAATAGAACATGATTTAGGCAAAACAATTTCACTGGCAGGCGAAGGCATATAGGTATACATAATCTCATGCAATTGGTACTTTCACCTGCGAGTAATCTCACAACAATATGCACATTACCTACACAATTTAAAGACAAATTATTTTTTTAACAGCTTAAATAGCGGGGCATTCACAGCAAAGCAAAATTAATTCTGTATCAATGTACATGATTGTAACGCCTTTACAACACACCTTTCATGCACCGACTGGATGGAACGTAGTGATTTAGTGAATGTCCACACTGTTAATATAGGAATAGTGGTAGTTTTTCGTCAGCTTGAATTTCCCTTGTACCTATCACGTATTTATTTTGGCACAGCATCCAAATTGATCCACCTAAAAAATATGCTGTATTAAAAAGCTTGCAGCACACGAAAAAAATTTACCTAATATTAGTTTTTGCCCTATACACGATGCTGTTTACCGGAAGGTAGGCCTTTCGATTTGCAAACCCGAAGGCAAACTGTAGCGTTAGTGGTTATATTGGCCGGATCGAAGGGCCTGCCTTCCGGTGAACAGCATCGTGTATGGCGACCATTATAAAAGTTAGGTAGTGATAGTTGTAGTCATTTTTAGAAAGGAGAGGGTAAAAAATGTTATACCTAGCCCCGCCTCATACTCCTGTCAAATTATAAATTAGGTACCTACTCAAAATCAAATAAACATAGAAAAAAGAAAGGTCACACTTCACTGTGCACGCATTAATATTACTTTTGATTTAGGTACATACTTTAATTTATTACTTTGGGTGTTAATATTTATACGACCAATCTGGGCCCACACAAACTTTTCAAAAACTCTTAGTACTTGTCTAATTACGAATGTCATATTTTCTTTTAGTTTTGAATCACATTGAGTAAAGGTTGATGATGAGCAGTAAGAAAAGGCGGCATTTCGTGCTTCTGCTTTGAAGATCAAAACATCAATTTTATAATAATTAAGGTAAAACAGGTTGTAGGTATTGTCATCAACGAGCAAATTTTCACAAATCTATTCGCATGAATTTTCCACTGGGTTCACTGTGGGACCCCCTGCATTGACATCGTCTCCAATTAATCACAATGTACCTAATGCTGTAATTAAAAATGACTTGTTCCTGACTGGGGGAATACAATCATGTGATCTAATTTCAATAAAATAATTCATATTCTGGATAAATGATCAATAGGACAGTTGTAATCATCCCTTATCACAGAAAATAAATTTGAAACTCCCAGAAGGAAGGCTTAAAATCACCATCAATTGGAAAAGTGACTAAGGGGTTACAAACAACTGTTAAA